TTGTTGTTGTTGTTGTTGTTGTTGTTGTTGTTGTTGTTGTTGTTGTTCTTTTTCCCAAAGCCAAAAAAAAAAAATATACCAGGTCAATGTAATCATTTGGGACAACACAAATCCATTCTATGTTCACATCACAGTTTGTGATTATTTAAACTGCATACATATTGGTGATTCAAAAACCTGCCTCTCTTGATGCCCTATTAGTCTTAATGACTTGAATAGGGAAGGAAACAGATATAAATCAAAAATGACACCTTCAAGAGGAAGAAATGAGCACCAGACAATGATGACTCCTTCAAATATCCATAGAGTACATCCATCATTCAATATTAAGCTAACTGGACATTCTGTACAAACATATAGCTGAAATCATACATTTATTCGGCTATAAATAAAATAGCCTCCAAGGTAGAAGTTTAGAAGAAGAGGCACAGAGGACTTTATTATTCTCTATTCAATTTCCCTGTCATTTCATTTTTCTGTTTATCTAATGTGGATATCAGTTAACAATCATCCATTTGCTATGCTCGTTAGGGAAAGGGAGAATCCCAAATAATTTACTTTTTAGTATCTCAGATGGCAAAAATATAACTCTATTGCAGTTACTTAAAGGGCCCCAAAAGAGGAAGTCGTATTGGAACATTTGAAAAATTGTACAAATTAGAGATAACACCCATCGAGAAACGTTTTTTTTTTCTATTCCGAGGGGAAGAACCATAGATCCTTCACTCCCTGTCCTTTCATCTTTCATGTGAGCCTACTAATGGGGGCTGAACTCATTTGTTTCAAAAATCTTTGAAAAATCTTAAGACTGGTATCATGTTACCTTTTCCTTAACATTCAGGCTTGAATTAGCCTTTTTTCAGTCCTGTCACACAATTTTGAAACCTTAAATTCCATTGACCGTTAAAGGGGAAAAGCATTTTGTGGTATCTTCATATTCCCCAAAGGGTAAGAGTTATTATTTTTATGATTTTCTTGGGCACATTTTCAGAACAAGCAACCAATGAATTCCTAGTTTGGTAACTAGCAGTAGAGAGCTGCAAGTCTGTAGCTGAGGCCTATTAATTCTACTGCTCCTATAACAGGCAGATTTCAGATTTCCCATTCCTGAATGAGGGTCTCTAAACTGAAAGAACAGAAGTTGAATTTTATATTTGATAAAAATGGATTATCACTTTTAAAATTGGTAATTACCTTTCTAAACAAAGGCTAGTAAGATACTCAACTTTTCATAGAAATGGCCATAGATAGAATACTCAATAAACTATAAATGATATACCTGGCAATATGATTTTAGAATATTCTTTACTAAAATGTAGCTAAATAGAATAGTGTGATATGGTAATCAATTACACAAAAATGTTACTAATAGCATATGATATTCCAGTGTCTGTTAAAAATTTATCTTATTTTATGTAATTTTTTCCTTTCTATACTTCAAAAATTATCATGTGTATTTTTATGGATAATTTATAATCCTATTTTACTGATGTTTTTAATTTTACCATCATTTCCAAATATTTCCCTACTAAAGAATCATTCTTTATAACAAGTATTTATTTTTTTTAAATCAGTTGAGCAAAATCAACTGGTATATTGACCATGTCTGATATATACAATGTTGCAGACCCCTTATTCTCTACTTCTGCAAAGAAGAGAATGAGAAACTCTTATGTTTTTTTTTTAATTTTGTGAAAACAATTCAAAAAGTCAAATAATACCTTTACAGAGTGACAAACTTCAAAAAGATTGATTTGTCGAGACTTTTATAGATATCTTTGAAGATATTTGTCAGGGAGGTAGAGGGCTGCCCAAGAAACAAGTAATAGCTCCTATTTATATACACTTTAAGGTTTACAAAAATCTTTCCTTGAAACAACTTTGCCAGACAAATAATACAAGTATTATTATGATCACTACAAAGATGAGAAAAGCAAGCTTCAATTCATTTACTTGCACTTGGTTACAAAGCTAGTGAGTGCTAGCTCAGGTCCCCTGACCTGAAGCCACTTTTTCCTTCTATAGTAACTACCTGGTAGAGCTGCTGCAGGCTCAAATGAGATAATGTTTGTAAAGCACTCTGGAAACTAAAGTGCTGTAAAAATTCCAGCTGATGTTTCCATTCCTTTGAGGACATTGATCCTGTGACACTATCACTATGAAATTCTTTTTCACTGATTTCAGACATTAGAGATCAATGCTCCAAAATGTCTGTTACATCCATCTGTTACTTCCAAATTATCTGGTGGCATGTTTGTAAAATGAAAAAATGTTATTCCACAAGTATATCAGGAAGACACCTGTGATTGCCAAAAGCTATTAATGGAGGAATGTGATTCTTTTCTTTTCTCCATTGTGAACAAAAATACTGTCTTTCACGTCTGGTCCACTCGCATTTGACCAATTCATTTT